ACCACCACCACCACCACCACCGTTCGGCTAGGGGAGGTGATGAACGTAAAAACTCCAGAGCACCCTGTATGTGTTCTGAGGACCGCGCACTTTATCCTAATGATATTTTGGGTAGGGGTTCACGTACGTACGTAAGCCGTCCTGCTCTAAACCCCAAATCCTAAACCCACACCCAAATGCCCCACATGCTCCTCCAATGCAGGCATCTTCCTTGGCTGCCAGCCCTACCAGTTCCTGGGTTGTGTTGAGGACGAACTCCATGACAACAAAGACCCCCCTGGTTATAAGATGACTTATAGGGGCCTACGTGAGGTTGGGGACCATCTGTTGGGCTATAAGTCCTAGATGGGAGTTACGTTCGTTAGGAGGCCCCTGTTGTATGTAAAATGAATGTTAAACCCTGAACCCTAATGCCTCCCCGAGCCTTAAACTTTGTTGTGCCTTAAACAAACCTTGGACCCTAAATCCTAGACCCTAAAGCCTAGACCCAACCTACGCTGCTGGGCTTCCACCTAGGCTCTGCGACTATGCCGAGGGAGTTTGTGGTCTGAAGAAGGACGATGATCTCACTAAAGGCTTGATGGCATGGTGTAGGATGTTGGGGTGTAGGGTTTGTTAGGGTCTAAAGTCTATGGATTCGAGTGTGAGCGCGTGGGTTAGGGCTTTGGGTTCAGCGAGAGCTTAAGGTTCATGCTATCGTGTTGAGGGGATATATAGTCCCCCTTCAGTAGATAGAATATGATCAGAATATGGCTTTGGGTATATGATAACCATACTCTATCTATTCAAGGGGGACTATAGGGTTCAGGCATTCATGGTATACAGGAAGATTCAGGCAGTGTACCTGGAGGATGTTGGGACAGGTTTGTCACAGGCATTTCGGGACTATGCAACTTTCACTTCACGGGGGTTTTCTCATTGAGTACCTTAAGCCTTAAACCTGGACCCCCGTTTAGGGTTTAGGGTTTAGGGTTTAGGGTATTAGGGTTTAGGGTTTAGGGTTTAGGGCTTTAAACCTCAAACATGAAACCCTAAACCAAGGTTTTAGGCCCTCACACAAGGCACAACTAGGCTCCAGTAGATCAGCGAGACCAGGGTTTAGGGTTTGGGGCTTTTCGTGCCAAAGAGTGAGACCTGGGGAAGACTAGCTATGATTGAGCCGCCAACAAGAGACTGCTAATATGGGCTATTAGACCCGATGCCTTGAAGAGGGGACTAACTAGCGTAAAGTAATTCCTACAGTCCCGATAGCCCATATTGTTCATACTGCAAGAGTTTCCAAACGCCTAAACCTCAATCTCTTAAACCTTCAAATGGGAAACCATAATACCCTCAAAGCACCTTCACATTCTTCCCCATCCCCAGGCGCCCCTCAGGTCTAGGGGCCTCCGCCGCTTTGCAGAACAAAGCCCGATACCTTTCAATTCAGATTTAGGGTTTAGGTCCACAGCAACATTCAAAGGGGCTATATGGGGTTTCATGTTAGTTTGGGGAGGGCCAATACCCCTTCATTAAGGAATACACCTGGAACCATACAGGGTCCCTCTGATGTGATTGAAGGTAAATTCCTTAAGTCCTGGAAGCCACCCATAAACTGGGCATGGCTACAACACAAATTAAGAAGCAGGAGCCCGGTCAGAGATCACGGAAACCCTAAGCCACAAAGGTCAAAGCGAGGGTGGGTTCATGCAGGTTGGGGCGGGTGCGCTCCGGATTGCTTTCAGCACCTGCACACCCCTTCAATGAGACACGCTGAAGCCTAAACTTTAACACCTAGCAGACACTTAAAGTTAGAGATTCTAAGCCCTAAACCCTAAATCCTAAATCCTACACCCCCAGTAGGTTAAAGTTTCTGGGGACGGCCCTGGGCACTACCTTAGCCCGGAAGCTCCAAAAGTTTGGCCCAAGGTTTGGCTGATGCTGAGGACCGGAGCCTGCTTAGGAATCCTATATGGGTTTCCCAAAATTAAGGGTACCATTACCATTTTGAGGGTCCCCATGATAAGGATCATATTTTTGGGGGGCCTATAGTGGGGTGCCCCTATTTAGGGAAAGTACCATATCTATATATATATATGTATATGTATAAGAAGGGATATAGATATAGATATAGGGTTTAGGCATATTAGGGGTTTAGGGCTTGGGGATATTAGGGGTTAGGGCTTAGGGATATTAGGGGTTTAGGGTTTATGGATAGCAGGGGACGGTTTAGAGCTTTTCAGATATTCGGGGTTTTTAGGGGTTTGGGGTTCAGAGAACAAGCTGGAAACTGAAATGGGCTATAGGATGGCTATAGGGGTTATATATATATATATGGATACGTCCCCAATAATTAACGGAGAGTGAAATGGACAAGCAAGTGGAACATGAAATGGAATTGGGGTTACGTAGGAGCTATGTAGGGAATCCCATGCATAGGCATATGCTGCTGTATTGAAGATTAACCTGAATTGTTTCATTGTGGAGGCGGCAGGGGGGGGGGGGATTACATATATATATATATATATACATACATACACAGGCTTACATGATCTCACATGCGTGCGTGCACGCATCATACATCATTCTTTGCTTGCTTGTTTGCTTACTTGCTACTTTGGTGGTTTTGGAGTGGGTGGTGTGGTGGGTACTGAGGAGAAGATTTTCAGGCAAAGTCCTAAGTTATCCCAGAAATCGGGAAAAAATCCTGAAGCGCAAACCCGAAAACCCTCCGCCCCTAAACTCCAAACCCTTAGCACCCTCAAGGAGAGGCTCTTGAGACGAGCAACGGCCTACAATGACACGCTGTACGCCAGCGATCTGGTGAAGTTTATCGCAGCCCTGACCGACTTCAACGCCTCCTCGGTTTGGAGATTAGGTTTTAGGTTTGGGGATTGGGTGGTGTTCTGACTGTTGGGGTCTGTACAGGGTTCGGGTGTGGCATTTGGGGGCTGCTGTTTCACCTTGGGTTCCTCATTTCTTTGTCAAGGTGGTGGTAAGGTTTTGGGCTTAGCTAGAGATCAAGTCGCAAGGAATTGAATGTTGGTGGCTTGAATTTGCAACGGTCATGATAAAGATGGTAGCTCAAGTTGGGTAAAGGGTTCACAACGTTGCTGAGGATGAGGAGGTGAGCTTGGCGAGTAGGAACTCAGGCGTCAAGTTTTCAGCTAAGTCTTCATGGCTTGAGTTGAAGGAGAACTTTTTTGCGATGCCCTTGCGCCGCGAACTCAAATCCCAAAGCACCAAGGCGTATCCTGAGCTCTAAAATCTGACCGCTAAGCCTCGCCCCACCTAGAAGCCCGGAAGCTCATGCAACCCCTCAAAAAAAGACCCCAGCTGCTAAACACTCAGGTCTACACACGGGCTGTGTTGGAGCCTGGTGAGAGGCCCAACTTCTTGAAGCAGATGGTCCGCAATTGGAAAGAGCTTTTCCAGGTTCAGGTTTTCTTGGAAGGTTTGGAGACTTAAGGTTCACAGTTTGGGGGCCTGGGTTTAGTTTGGGGACTTGGCGCGCGCAGTGTTCAGCTTAAATCACGGGACTTCTGCATTCATCGTGTTCTGATGGTCACGTGAGCCATAAAGAAAGCACCTTAGAAGGGGCTATATAAGGGATTATAAAGGGGGCTACTACAGGGGTTATAAGGGGGATACTAGGAGTTTGGACTATGGCTCATGTAACCTTGCACGCCCCTCCAGCCACGGATTCATAAGCTGAAACCTTACCTCAAACCTTTATAGTCCCCCTTAAGTAGATAGAATAGGGGGTATCTGGGGATCTTATTATACCATACCCATAGCCATAGTTTATCTACTTGAGGGGGACACCCAAATTCCACACCCTAAATCCTAATCCGTTATCCCCCCAGCCGTAAACCTTTTGCACACACAAACCCCAAGGAAAAGTCATTAAACCCATGAACCCTAAACCTTCAACGCTAAACCCCAATTTGAAGCCCCAGGCCCTGCAGTCGAAATCTGACGCCGAACTTTAGCCCCTCCCCTAAATATGTAATCGGCCATCTTCTAAACTCCTTTAAGTGGGTTATGTGGGGAATTATGTAGGGATCCTATAACAGTGATATAGGGAGTTTAGACTGCAGGTCAAACGGGCTGCTTTCAAACACGCTGTTGTCTTTGCAGGGGCCCACCTTTACGCTTCCATGTAAGCTCGTGGGAGGGTCGCCGTCAACATGAAAGCCCATGGCACCAGGTCCTAACCTAATTACAGCCTGGGCCTATATAACTTAAAAGGTTAAGGTTTAGAAAGAGATTCCTAAACGATCCTAACCCGAAATCCGCAATCCTGCACCCGAGAATCGTGAAGCGGCAAGATGGATTCGACTGAGGATAAGGGGTTTGTGGGGGGGGGGGGGCGCTGGGTTTAGGGGCAAGCGTTGAGGGATTTTAGCGTCGAATTCCTATATCTACAACGTTAACCCTTAACCCTAAGCTTCTAGTAGCCAATAAGCTTTTACAACCAGGAAGACTGGGTTATGCCATGGTCAGGAAGCCACTTGATCTACTTTACATATTTTGTCTGGTAATTTGGCGTATGCTCTGTAATGCCTTCCCCTGATAATAAACATCCCCACGGCATATAATAGATATTACTAATATTTTATGGTGTCCTTGAATGGGAATGTTTCTTATTAGATGGTTGGGGAGGTTACCACACGAATGGTGTATAGTAAAAAAGGGGCTTCATCAGTATGACAGCCAGTCTTTCTGGTTGCAAAGGCTAGTTGGCTGGTAGAAGTTTAGGGTGTGTGCTACTAGCAACCTTAAAAGTATGAGCCCCCAACACTGTCCGTTAGCCTTTGTAGTGGCATTCGAGGACCTTGAGGATACAAATATGGTATATAGCAGGGGATGTAAGAATCCAAGGGTGAAGGGCCCATGATAGGGGACCATGGTTCCAATCTTAGAGGGAAAGCCTAAACCCAAAAACCCTAAACCCCCAAAATCCTATATCCAAAACCCCTAAACCCCCAAAACTCTAAACCCCTAAACCCTAAACTTAAGGGGCTATCAGCAACCCGCAGAGCTTGTGCCACTAGGAAGATGGGTGATTCTTCCTCCAGCCTCGTGAAGAGTGCCAAGTTAATCACCGATGCCATGCACAGACAAGGCTCTGCATGGTTTTGGGGGTTTGGGGGCTTTGGGTTTTCTGGGAATTCCTTAAACCCTAGAGGCATATAAGGATCGAGTCTTTTTACAGCATTATACGTTTGTGGTATAACCGAGAAACATTCGGAAAAGAAAGGAACAAAAAAAGAACATGAAGTGGACACTGGGATTGTATAGGACAACATTGAGGTAGAGTCGTCATTGTAGTTTTGGTGAATGTATGTAGGTCTCTTTAAGAATAGCGGTGGGTGTATATGTGGGGTGCCCATTAGAGTATGATATTGATCATGGGGCATTTAAAGAGAAGTACGGCTGTGGTGGTGACGTTTCCTTGAAACTTTTACCCATACGTCCTAAACTCCAAGCCCTCCACCTTAAATCTTCAACCCCTAGACCCTAAACCCCTAAACCCTAAACCCCCTTCATAATTTTAAGCCTGAACCTCAAAACATAGAGCTTCACTCCCCAACCTCAAACCTCGCCTGCACAAGGCACGAAAAATAAAGACCCCAAACAACCCTTAGGGTTTAGGGTTTATGGCTTAGGGGTTTAGGGTTTAACACTTTCAGACTTGCTCCGTAGAAGCTTCATACTCTCACATCTTTGGAAACTTGCATGCTGCGACGTTCATGATTCATGAACCTCTTCCCTTAATGTAGAACACCAGCCCGAAACCCGACATAAAACATAGCTTGCAGCAGTTGGCCCAAATCTGTGGGAAGTTGCGGGGAAATACTTGGAACTTTTAACGGGTGTTTCTAGGGACGCTAGGACATGCTGGGTTTGTGGAGATATGCTTTCTCAATGAACACAACACAGCATCTAGTACATCCGACATTCTTGCCGAGAGTGTTCCACAAGGGGCTTCGTGGACGATCAGGGTTTAGAGCGACAGTTTCAGTGCACTTTATTATTACATTGAGGTTTCTCAACAAGATGAGATACTCTGCTGTCTGGATGAAGGGAGTGACTTTTCTGAGTCGCTCTCCTTTTACATACTGGGACTTAGTGGGGAATAAGGCACTCGAATCCCTATATAACCCCTGTATAATATATTTCATATTTCCTGTTAACCATAAACGTCATATAAAAATATCTGTGTTTATATGTCTATATAGTGTATTCCCATATTCCCTACCACTAAGTTTATGCCTAGGTGTATTGGCCAGGTCAACCTTTGCCCTGATATCATTCCTTTCGTCGGGCCAGTGTGGGTTTGGTGCGTATATGTCACGGATTAAGGTTTTAGGGTTTAGGGTTAGGTATTGCCCACGCATGAACAGCTGGATAATACTTATCATAAAATCACGTAGAGCCGCTAATGTGACCCCAATTAAATTGTTTATGGTTTGAGGCAGGACCCTATCTGTGGGCTAGAGAACAAAGGTGCTTGGGGCTCACATTGGTTCAGCTAAGCCTTACGCGAGGAAGCCTGCCAGGTCCTGAGTGTATTTATGTGGGGAAGAAGGGATGGGAGTTAAGGTTACAGGGGTCCCTCATTGTAGTCTCCTAGGGTCAAATGGAGGGCCCGAAGGCCCTAAGCCCGAAACTCCACATCCTAAACCCTAATCTTCTCTAAGCCCTAAGACCCTAAACCACTAAAACCTAAACCCCTAAGCCCTAAACCCCTAAGCCCCTAAATCCCTAAACCCCTAAATCCCTAAACCCCTAAACCCTAAACTGAGGTAAGCCTAAGCTCTGAAGAACACCTTGCCCAGGCTTTAAGATGGTAGACTTCGGCGCGCTTGCCACCTTCCTTGAGGAGCATAACCCCATCAGATGGTTTCCATAAGTGGGGGAACCCCAATATCAACCTGAGTATACTAATAGTCCTTATTATGGGGACCCCAAATTGCTTTGCAAAGGGTTTAGGGCTTCGGGTTTAGGGTCTTAGGGGTTTGCGGGTTTTGGGGTTTTGGGGTTTAGGGCTTAGGGTTTAGGGCTTAGGGTGTGCCATAGTGCCACGGCTCGACCCACCCATGGAGTGGTCGTGGGTCGAGCCGTCCTCGTG